CTTAGTCCACTTGACATGTCCCACAAGTCACTGATGTTCATTTGTTTTTTTCTCAGTTTTTTTCCTCTCTGTTCTTCAGATCGGCAGATTTCTATCCGTGTGTCTTCAAGTTACTGGCCAGTTCTTCTGGCCATCTTTAATCTGTATGAAGCCTATCTTGTGGATCTTTTGTTTTATTTTGTTTTAGTTATTGCAGTTTCAGGTCTACAACTACATTTTGTTTCTTTTTTGAAGTTTCATTTTCTTTACTGAGAGTCCCAATCTGTTTAATCATTAAGACGATTTTCCTTTTAGGTCTTGAACATATCTGTAATCGCTGCATTAAGATCTTTGTTAAATCCAACATTTTCATATGGAGTCTATTTCTACTGATTGCATTTTTTCTTAGCTTTAGATCACGTTTCCTTGTTTCTTTGCATCACTAGTAATTTTTGATTGCATACTGGACACTGTTGGTGACACAAGGTAGGGACTATGGATTATACTATCTTCTTCTAAAGAGCTGATTTTTGTTCAGCAGGCAGTTCAGTTACTATAATTACCTTAAATTTAGGGAATTTTAAACCTTGTTGAGGCCATTCTTTGGAAAACTATGGTGTTTACTGAGCCCCAGTAAGTTAGAGTGATTCGGCTTCAGACTCTGCATCCTCTGCGGAGGCTTTCAGAGCTGGATTTAGACTTTGTTGGGGCAGGTCTAGAGTCGCCCCAGTGCCTTGGGAGTAGCCTTACTGGAGCCCCAGCCGCATGTCAGGGAGTTGACGGTTTCTCCACTCCAGGTGGGTGGAGTGCAGTGTCCTCAGCACCGCCTGACTGCTGGCATCTTCATTTGCTCCTCCCCTCAGCAGCCTTTCCTGGGTGGGCACTGAGTAGTCTTTCCCCGTGCATTGGTGCCTTAGCATTCAGCCAAGGACCTGTGGGGGACCCCCCAGACTTCTGACTGTCCCTCTGCCACCTCCTCAGGTTACGACTCTCTGGTGCCTCGCCCCGATTCCCGCTGAACTAGAAGTCCTGCATCCCTATCTTTGCCTTCTCAGTGCAGCAGGACCACACACTGTGCTTGAGTTCTGATGTCCCCAGGTGGTGCTTACCTGCAACATCCCCTCTGTCAGGGCTCACAGTCCTGACCTGCCCACTGCCCAGCACCTGAGAACAAGTGCCTTGTGCTTTTGAATGTAGTAGTTCTTTCCTGCAAGAGACGCACTGTGTTGGTTTTTCTTGGTGCACCTTATCCTTGGGTGCTCACTAATCTCAGGACCCAGGAGACAGGAGATTTGTGCAAACAGCCACTTAGTCTTATTTCCTATGTTCAGCAGCATCTAGTGTAATGACTTGAAAATTTTACTGTGCATATAAATTATAAGGAGAATTTATACAATATAAATTTATAAATATTTTATAAATAAATATTTATAAATATAAATATAAATTTATATTTATAAAATATAAATTCTCAGTCCTCTTTCTTTGAGATTCATATTTTATACTATATGGATATGATTTTGGAATCTCCATTATTAAGTATCTCAGATAACTTTCATACTGAACATTTTTTGATCAGCATCATGAAACACTGCTCTCATGCATTTGGGACATTCTATATGGGATTTTCTATTACCCCTATGGACTTGGTCTGTTACTAGAAAGAAGTGTGTCCCAAATTTCCACATCTGTAGATTGTTTAGTATCATTCTGTGAATAATCTGAGTACAATCTTTTAAACAAAAATATTAATTATAGTTTTTAAATCCTTAGAATGAAATACAATGCTTAAAAATGATTATCAATAATAGTTTCATATCAGAGAGCAATATTATATAAGCTGTGTCTGTTCATGCACTATCCACCTCCAGCTTGATAATACCCACCTTGAGCTCATAGGTTAGGCTCCACAGCCAGTCAGTTTCTTTCCATAATGTTTATTTCTGTGAAGTTACCTAATAAGTCATGAGAATGGGCAGCTGGTATTGGGTGGCATTACTGAAGCTCTGGGTGTTGGATATTCTGACCTAATGTGGAGCCAAAATTATGAAGCAGCTCCTCACTGGGGAATGATTACCTTGAAGGTGATATGCAAAGTTTCAATTACGCCAACCACAGAGGACAATTCCAAACCCAAACCATTACTTGACATGGATCTTTAGAACACGCTTCTTCGTGGTAAGCTGTAATATCTCAATATTGTTTTTAGAGGAGCTCAATAACATAACTTTAATTTGTTTTTATTTTGATCAATAAAGTTAATTACTAAACCTAGGAAAAGACTCAAACACTAGCAAGCAGCCTCGTATTCACCGCTTTAAGTTCAATCAAAAGGAAGCGTGCCTGCCCAGCAGTCAATCTCCCCTATGGGTGACACCTTTGTTATTTCTACCTTTATAAATCCCTCTGGAGATATGGGCCAGTTTTACGTAATTTGAGACTACAGTACCACACAACCATAATGGCACGTAACTGCAAACAGAAACACCAAACACTGTGCGGAGGCCTCAGCTGAAAGTGGCCCAAACTGTAAAACACTGGCCAAGATGTGTGGACCAAGGCCATCTCTACAGGGCCTTCAGAACTTAGAGGGAATCTGAAATTTCTAGCGGCTAGTAAGTCTTAAGAAAGAAGGATTTCTGTGAAAAGTCCCAGCTGTCCCTTTGCTTTAAACTTGTGAAATTTATGTGACTTTCATGGCCTCATGTGTCACAGGGTGAAACCGCCTGAGAGTGTTGCCGGGGTCTGTGTGCGACACCTGGAAGCCCACAGCGGGCGGGACACAGCGAGGGACGGCCCTGGATGGCGTCCCCATGGCTCTGCTCCATTTACTGGGCGCTGCGAGGTCAACTCCCTGGGTCCCGGGAAGAGCCCAGGTTTCTCCCACTGTGGAGTTTCTGGGCGTTCAGCTTCCAAGAAAGGGAGGATAACAGGTGATGTAAAGTGAAAGGCGGAAACACCACCTTCTGCTGCTTCACAAAACGGTCGTTGACCAGGTGAGAGACAGTGCTGGGTCTTCCAGCCTGCGCACACCCGGCCGGCCACATGAACCATGCAGACCAGCAGGAGGGGAGTCCAGGGCCCTGCAGAGCTCAGATCCCCAGGCTGTGGTCGGCCCGAGCTCCCTGAACACAGAGCAGCCAACTGCATGTTCCAGCTTCCATGACGGTGTGGGGTCGTTGTTTTTCTCTTTTGCTTTCACGTCCAGTTATTTTCGTGGACTTTACAGAAAGTCTGGTCAGGAGTTTACACTGTACACCATGCTTAACTGGAAACATGCTGTGGACAGTGGATTCTTTACAGGCTTTGTAAAAATAAATTTTTACCACCCTCTGCTGTCAAATGCGAGTCTAACACACTTGCTGGGGATATTCTTCCTAATATCTGGAAAGAATCTGGAAACCTCTGTCTACAATGTAATAAATAAGCACCACTTTCCTTTTTACTTTCACCCAGGAGATGATAATCTGTAATTCTGAGGCAAATCCACCGCAGCTCCGCAGGGGCAATTAGTGACGAGCGTTTTAATCGATGTACTTTCGTTACTGAGACCTGACTTCTAAAGAACCAGACATCTGCATCCACGGTGTGCTGTCATTCCATCTCAGAAAAATGAGCAGCAGGCAGGTCCTTCCTGAGGAGAAGCAATGACGCCCCAGGGTGTCACCTGATCCTTTCCACAGACGGTGACAGGGTGCCTGCTGCGCTTCTAGCAGCGTCTCCTCCGGGTTTTCCCAACGGTCCAGGTGCCTCCTGAGAAAACTCAGAGGAGCTGGAAGGCTACAGCAGCCTTATGATGGAACTGGGAACTGCTCCAAAATAATTTCGTCCCATGTGTTCATTTGAGAAACGAGAAAACGGGGAACTCCGAGAACTGAAGTGCGTTCTCGCAGAGTAAACCCTGGACTTGGACGGCGTGGTCTCCGTGCATGCAGCGCGCTCGCACCTCTCACTGTGTGCAGATGGGAATCCGAGCTCGGCTGCTTGAAATAGTCCCTTCTGTCCGTCTTCCCCTTGGAGTAACGCTGCTGATGTTTCTGCAGGCCGAGGCTTCCAGCACTAAAGAAGCCAGCTTTATGTGTTCAGACCAGGCTTATTGTAGCAGGGTACCCGCTCTCCCCATACTACCCTTTAGTATCTGGGAGAAATGATCCAGGCCAACACAAGGTGATAATATTGACAAAGACCATCATAAGCACCATCATAAGTGCATTTCCATAGTGCTTTTAAAAGTGAAATTGATTAGAACAAAATTATTTATATAAGACTTTTATAATATTTCTTTTTTTGTGGAAAACGAGATGCACTCACCTATACTTCTAAAATTTTTGGAAAAAAAAGCAATCTAACATAGTCCGAAAAAACAGATATTTCTTACAGAAAGACCTAAAATTGGATATGAAGCGAACAGTCACACTACATTTTGGATCTTGGCCGCTAAGTACAAGATGGAATTTTAAACCCATTTCTTATTTCTTAAAAATAAGAAACACGAAAAACCACTTTTTCAGGATTCAAAGATTCGGAATGAAAGACAGGCTGAGCTGAAAAGTTAACTTAGTTTTCCAGCACTATTCTTCAGAGAAAAGTTTTTCTTTAAGGGAAGGATTTTTTATAATTATATAATTAACTTTACTGTCAGTGTCTAATTTAAGACAAGTACATAATGTCTCTGATGATGGATTATTTTGACTGCAATATTACAGCCCCTTTTAAGCACTATTCATATTCAATGCTTTCCTCTTTCTTGTTTTAAAAAACTGTAATCACCTTGACATATGGCGGGCTTCATGCTCATTTCGGGGAGATAGTTGGTGATTATGCTGTGTCTATATCGTAATTTTTCCTTCGGCTTTCTTTAGCGACTTTGATGTGGTAATTTTCACTTCAGAAGTTATTCTCCTATAGTTTTGTCTCCGTTGTGTGTGGCAGCCCAGGCTCCTCATGGCTCACCCTCCCCACTTTCTAAACTCCTGCTTCTGCCCCTCTGTCACCGTCCCCACAGGCACATGTGTGACAGTTCAGCGTTGAGTGCCACCCTCGAGGGGCTGTACTCCATCCTCGTGGGAACCCCCTGAGGAAGAATGCTGGCTGTCCGACTCTGCAGGTTCCGAGAGCGAGAGCAGAGGGGTCACCTGGTGAGATGGGGCTCACGCCAGGCTCTCGGGGCACAGCTCCAGAGCACACAAGCACTAGACAGCAGTCCCCCCTTGTCCTTGGTTTCACCTTCTGTGGTTTCAGTTATGTGCGGTGAACTGTGGGCAGAAAATATTAAATGGAAAATTCCAGAAATAAACAATTCATAAGTTTTAAATTGCCGATGTTCTGAGTAGTGTGATGAAGTCTTGAGCCTTCTAGCTCTGCCCCACCTGGGATATGACCCATTTCTTTGTCCAGCGGACCCACACTGTATAGACTACCTGCCCATTAGTCACTTAGTATCCGTCTCAGTTATCAGATTGACTGTCTGGGTATCGCAGTGCTTGTGTTCAAGGAACTCTTATTTTACTCAATAATGGCCCCAATGCACGTGAGTAGTGATGCTGGCGATTCGGATATGCCAAAGAGAAGTCGTAAAGTGCTTCCTTTCAGTGAAAAGGTGCAAGTTCTCAACTTAATAAGGATAGAAAAAAGAATCATATGCTGAGTTTGCTAAGATCTATGGCACCTTTTACTACAGTATATTGTTAGAATTGTTCTATTTTATTATCAGTTATTATTGTTAATCTCTTACTGTGCCTAATGTATAAATTAAACTTTATCATAGGTATGTATGTGTAGGGAAAAATATTGTGTATATATAGGGTCCGGTACTATCTACGGTTTCAAGCATCCACTGGGGGTCTTGGAACGTGTCCCCCGGGACAAAGGAGGTTGACTATGCCACGTGACACACACATATTGGAATTTCTAACAGGCCTCACACTTCTCAGAAAAAACTGACTGTTCTACAGCCAGGGTGAAAGCAAGAGCCAGAACGGACTTTACGGACGTGTATCGGTGAGCCCCATACCCAGGGTAACACCACGACAACACCCCCACGGTGGAGAGGGACCCCCTGCGTCCCCCACCTACAGCTCCCCTCAGTGAACACACGTCTAGAGGAGCAGAGCTTCCCAGGAGCTCCCACCGAGGAGCACATGGCCCCAGCAGCCTTGCCTTGGGACCGCTGCCTAACGAGACATCACTGCCCCACCTCCAAAGGTTCCCCAGTCACTGAGCCGCACCGCTCCAAAGACCCTCTGAGAGATCAACTCCCCACTGTGCTCAAGGAGACTGTGCCTGATTAGCACGTGGTCGCTCTCTGAGGTAAGGAGTGAGCTCTGCTTTTAGCTCTGGTCTCAGGTATGAGTTCAGACTCCTCCGTTGAAACACCAAATAAACAAAATAAATGTTCATTTAATATAACAACATTTTAAGACAGCGGCCAAAGTGTTTTTAGCCACTTTATACATGAAAAGAACCTAGGATTAAAACAGACTAAGGGAATGGAACGAGGACCCATGTATGATTGACTTTTAGTCCAGAACTCTTATAACTTCCTAAATTAAATAAACTATTGGTCAATATTTTTATAGGATTTTTTTTAAAAAATTCTAAAATCTACATACTTTATAATTTTAAATCTGTATGTCACTTAATTTCCTTTAATGGTCTTACTTATCAGTCAACATTTGCTGTTGAACAAACGCATCTGAAGATCTTTGAAATGAAGCAAATGGTGTTTTGTGCATGGAGGGCTTTCTTCTACAGAGTCCTCTGAGATCGTCACTGGAACAGAAACCAGACTCTCACAGATGTAGTTATCACACTGCTTAAAACACTGTCACAGAACCAAAATTACATAAAGAACGCAGCACCTGTAAGACACATGACCATCTTCCTTGTCATTCACGCTTAATGACATGCCAAAAATATTTTAAAAGAAATCATGGATCCTATCTTTACACATGACATACCTTGCTGAGTCATTTTGTGCTTTTGATATCAAAACAAACCTATTGTATGAGATACAAAAAGCAGAAATATTGAATATAAATTATGTTTAATGTAAGGATAGTAAGTAATTTATCAGTTCCACATTTTCAATACAAAAGGATTATAATTTTTAGTTGTTGCTCATACAAAAAATGTATGCTTAGAATAATATATTATTGTTAAAATGTAATTTTAGTAAAAATATAGACAAAAAAGGTTTCACTGAAATGTCAGGTGTCGGAGAGAATCCTAATCGGTACAGTGTTGATGAGAGCCTTACGAAGCAGGCGGTGGTGTAGGAAAGGCTCGCCCCTTGAGTTCTCTCGTCTCCACCTCTCACAGCAGCACCGGCCCCACCTCGTCTCCTCCTGAGAGCACGCTCACCTTTGTTGGCAGCCCGTTCGCTCTGCCTCCAGCTGCTCTGGGGACCAGTCTCGCCGAGGGTGGATTCGTGGGTGCGGGAGGCACCTGATAACTCTGAGACCCTCCCTCCTTCCTTACCTCACCTGGAAACAAGCGCTCCTGGGCATCTCCTCAGCCCCTTCCTTCTTCATCTGACCACTCTGCAGGTCCCTCCTCACACGTGGGGACACCAGAACCACTTCTGTTCCCAGGTGCTTGCTGCTGAGGTAAGCTCCCCGGGGAGCCCCTACAAGGCGGGTCCCGTCTGTGCAGGGCCCCGTTTGCACACGTTTCCAGCATAGTGTGGTGTGCAGCCAGTGGTCGGTCACCTGTGCTGACAGCGTGAGTGCGGGCACACGTGCATCTCCACTGTGAGGTGCCTAGTCCTCCAGATTCAAAACAGCAGAGCACGCCTTCATCTCCGGTTCCTGCTCACTCGAGGTCCCGGATACAAAGGAGTCGATAACACAGACCACAGTGTGGCGTCTATGTATGCAGTCACCTCATTTGACCCTAAAAACATCCATTTAGGGCCACTCGGCAAGCACATACATGATTGCCAGGTGTGGAACCTGAGGCTCAGCGACTGAACGGGGGCCACGGTATTAAGACCGCAGATCCTGAGGTTTTTCCAAACCCTATGGGGTCAGGTCCGCCTGTGCCAACCAGCACACACGCTGAGGCCCAGCTTGGGAGGAAGGATTCGTTTAGTTAGAATTGACTAGTACTAGATGCTCTGAGTTCTCTGAATTTAAATCAGCAAACTTACCAACGAACCTGTCATATTAACACACTCAGTAAAACTCTGGATGAGACAATATACGGAATATGTTGACCCAGAAGAAAACTCTGTGCATCCTTAAGTTAGCTGTCTCAGATTGAGTGTCTGAATACAACTGCCTGTAGAGCCAGCATGTCGCATGGTGGAGAAATCCAGACCATGCAGTGGCTTGGGAGGCTTGGGTCTCACATACTTCTAGGGCCTGGACTTTGTCTCTGAGGGTCACCCCCTCTGCTGGGTACTGGACACCTGCTGCTGGCTCCATCCTCCTGACTCACTCATCACCGCTCTGCTCTCTGGGTCACCTCGGCCTTTCAGTTAAATGTTCATATTATTGTATAAATGCATATTTAATACACACAATATATTATAAATAAAAGATAAATATTATGCTATTATAAGTGTATATATAACTATATATAAACTTGTCAATATTTTATATACATATGTTAAGGATGTATATTTATATCTCCTTAATGAGAAGGCTGTTTAACTCAAATACAGACTTGGGCTCAAATCTTGCTACTTATTTTTGCTACTTTTATTTGGGAACTTAGGATGAAACCCCTCTGAACCCCAATTTCCTCAGCTACAAATAAAGTTAATGATGTCTCCTTTGTGGACTGTGGAAAGGGTTATATGTAATAATATAGCACTGAACCTAGAACACAGAAGGTCCTGAATTAGTGTTCAATACAACAAAACGTGAAAAGTTACTTTTCTGTAGCTTTTCTGTAACAAGTTTAACATTCACTCTAGCATCTGTTGATACTTCAATTTTCTCGTGTGAACTCATTTTCCATGCCTGTTGAATGTACGTTTAGGTTGAGCTCATTTCTACATCATCACAAATACCAATTTGGGGCAATACATCCATATTCGTGTTCCTTTGCAATTTTTATTAATATCTGAGAAGCATGAAAAGAAGACGAGACCTCTATTCTTATGCAGCATGGTAAAAATGATCTATTTACTCAGTCATTTACTCTGAAATTCCTGCAAAGCACACACCTGTATGGTCAAGTTTCTGCTGATGCTTAACCTCAGAACGGCACAATTTTCACAACTGACACCCAGTACGGGAAGTGGCTTTCTTATTAAGTATTTTTCAGGAAAGATAAGCAATGTCTAATGAATCAAGACCTAATAGATTACCCTTAGAAGGTTCCCTACATGTTTCCCAAACAGCAAAACATCCATCTCCATGAGGCAGTGTGCAAAGGGAAGGCACAGGCCTGATGACGTCAGAGAAACAAGAGCTGGACCCAGGTCCCCTCTGATCGGCCTTCCTGCCCGAGGTAGGTCCCCAGGCCCCAGAGTCCCGCCTGCTTCCTCTCTGTGGAATGGAGATAATCGCACCCAAGTCACAGGGGGCTGCAGGGTTCAAGTGGGAGGGCAAATGGAAGGCAGCGCACCTGCCCTTGGGTGCACTACCCTGCTCCGCTCACTCTCCTCCCGTCTCTTCTCTCTTCACTTTTCAAGAAGGCTTTTTCGTCAATGAGAGAGAGAAGGAGATCTCCCTCCCGCTGTGCCTAGGCCAACTTCCCCTATGATCCACACTCCGACAGGCTCACCACCTGGGCACACACCTGGAGGTGCCGACTCCACCGGCCTTACCATGGGGCGAGCAGGCATGGCCCATACAGACCAAGGGATACAGGTCAGACGAACGCCGGGGTCTGGAGGAGCACCCATCAATGGTCTCAGGGATTACGGATTGATTTTTCTTTTCAAGTCAATCGCTTTACTGGGAAAACAATGGCTTTAACACATTCAGACAGGAAGTAACGAAAATGCTGGAATCTTACTGACAATCTTCAGGGAGTAAGAGCTCACAAACAGATCCTCCCACAAGGATGCTGAAAGTGTGGGCTTCCCGAAAATGAATCTAGCTTAGTTTGTGTCTTAGTCCTGGGGAGGCCCCAAGAGCAGAACTAACAGACACCAGAGCACAGGCGCTGGGCGCCAGACCGC